TTTTTTTTTTTTTTTTTCGAAACGTCTTGATATTATTTTTCTCATAATAAACTATCCAGCTTTTTCAGTGAGCAAATACTTTTCAAGTTTTATACTCCCTCCTTTTTAAAATAAGTGTCGTTTTGAATGTCTAGATACATAGCAAAATAGATGAATAAAAAAAAGTCAAAACGACACTTATTTTAAAAAGGAGGTAGTATTTCTTTTATCTCTTTTTTTCCAATCACTTTTTTTTGAGGTGAGACCCTTTTAATCAACAAGTTTGACAATTTTTTGGTTAGTTCGGTAAATATATTTTTTTATATATACGATTGATTTATGAAATATTATTATTCAGTAATATAAGAAAAAATATATGACATTTGATATGTGCTTTTTATTATCAAATTTGATGGATCCAAGAGACCTTTTAATCCCGAGTTTGACATGACTTGTCAAGAGTTCGAGCTTGATAAAAAACTCTTAAGATTTAAAAATATGAGGTTTTATATAAATTACTATTGGCTCAATTTTAAATAAGATTTAGTTAACAAACTCAGAGTTTTGGACACTTACGTGGGTTTGGTTTAAAGTTTAAACTCAACATGTATCCATTTATTTGAATCAATACTATCTTCCTTTAGCAATTACACAATATTCCAATTGAAATGTATTACGTCACGTACCATTTTATTCTCAAGAATTTGCTTTCCTTGGACCACATCAAAGAACAAATCAAAGAATTCTGTCCGTCTAAATTAAAAATTAACCACAATAATAAATAATTCTTGTTCATCAATAATATTTTTTTTTAATGATATTATAGTAATATTAAATAAATAAAAAAAAAACCAACACAATAACACCAATATTACATAATACATAATACTCGAAACAATTAAAAAAAAAATAGAAATAATAATTCTTTCAAAATATTTCAAAAAGTAACTTATTAATTAATTAATTTATTAATTATTATTAAAATCATCTTCGTCATCATCAGAAATCCTTGAGCAGCTTCCTGACCTGCTCGAGCGTGACGAACAGCACCACCGTGAATGGCCCCTGCCTGGAGATCGTCGGCACAAACCCCTTGTACAGCGCCCTCACCCCCTCCGCCCTCACTGTCTTCACCGCGCAATCCATCGCACCGGCGTACGGCGGCGCCTTCCCGGCCTCCACCCTCATGTTCATCACCCGCGTCTTTATCACGTCCACCGGATTCGACGCCACAGCCGCCACAAACCCCGCCGCGAAGCTCGCCGCCACGTGGGTTCCCAGCCCGTCCGCCATCAGACCCCTGCCCAGGATCATCTCCTTGAACTGGTCGTACGACGCCAGCTGCGACGCCGTCACCAGCATCGCCCTGTTCACCGTCAGGGACGACCCACGCCACAGGCTCACCACCCCCTCGTCCCGGCTCATACGCCGGATCGCGTCCACCACGCTACGGTAGTTCCGCCGCTGCGCCTCCGGGAGGCGGCCGTCCGCCTGCATCCGGACCATCGCCACGTCCGCCGGGTTCCCGACGGCGGCGCCGATCCCCCCGGCGATGAGGCCGGCGACGATCTTCCGGGACAGGGGCATGGTGCCGGCGGCAGGATCCGTCCATTTCGTCTTGAGGACGTCGTAGAGGCCCATCCGGGTGGTGGAGTAGAGCGTCTGGCGGAGCACGGTGGCGGATACGCCGGAGAAGAGGGCGGCGGCGCCGTCCTGCCGCACGATCCGGAGCCCAACGGAGACGAGGCCGACCCTCGGGGGAGGTACTTGGTGGAGGGCGGCGGAAGTAGCGGGATGCTGAAAGGCTAGGGCCGGACGGAGGTTGTGGAGCGGCGGCGGCGGCGCTGCGGCCTCTCCCTGGAGCTGCATCCGGACCTTGATGAGATCGAGCGGATGGGTGCTGCAGCCGGCGACGATGGAGGCGATGCCGCCCTCGACAAATCCCTTGACACCCATAATCGAATTGGCGGAGGCGAGGAAGATGGCGCTCGAGATTAGATTTTTGTTAGAAAATAAATTAAATTGCCAAAAAAAAGGGGGAAACCCTAGAAAGGGTAAATTGGGGGGAAAATAAAAATAAGAGGAATTAAGAGGACCAATTAGAATTAGAGTTCATCTCACTTGAGACGAGGAGATGAGAGTGGAGGCCGAAAGCTATGGAGGAAAAATGGGGGACGTTGGCCCTCTGAGACATATAATTCTCTCTCACACACACACTACACACAATATTAGGTGCTGTTTGCTTGAAGTGATGGAGGCGGATGTTATTTACGTATTTATAGGGGCCAAAAAGAAAAAGGGACTCAAAACGTAAATACATAATAGTATAATGTAATATAATATTATTTTTTATTCCTTTTTAATGTTTTTGTTTTCCTCACGCGGTCTGTGTACAGAGGAAAAACGGCGGAAAAAGAGAAATAAATAAACACATTTCTTTTTTAAAAAAAAAAAAAATAACTTTGATTTGTTTGGAATATGGAAAGGTGATGTTCAGCGTCGGATGGCAATATGGCATTGGTTACGCGTTTTTAGGGTTTTTAAGGGAGGTGGGGCCCAGATGCTGAATTTTCATGATATTATTTATTATAGTAATCATGCCAACTCATCTAACTTTGGGAAAATTCTTAAGTGTCGTGTAATTTAGTAGAACCAATGAATATTTGGCACATCATTTTAGTTTGGTAGGTTTTTATCACATAGGTAGAGTCTATCAATTTTATAAAATCTATTGACTGAGATTAAATTAACGGAATGATGCCTGCACGGCACCGTAACCAACCCCCTAACTTTGTGAAGATGTTAGAAGTTTTTGGGAGCATGAACGGCGACTTACTTGGCTTTGAAGTTTACGTTTTACCTGCCTATATTAATAAATCTAATCAGAGTTTTCCAACCCTGATTATTAAGGGGTAGAATTGTAAATGAGTCAAATCAAATCGAAATTAATATTCAACTTCAATTTGAATTCATGAAAATATTTAGTTGTTTGTTTTCATATTCAAATCGTTAACAAATTTAATTTGTGATTCATATTCGATTCCATTATAATAATCGAATGTATTTGATGACGATTCAAAACTCGTTTCCAGAAACTATTTATAAATATATAAATATATTTTGTAAAAGGGTTGATCCACCATTACAGAACTCCCCTTTTGTGTTTTCGGCAAAAGGGTTGACGTCGGACAAAGTATCTTCACTGTCCACATCAACGAAGTTCGGTTGTAAAGGTGGTTGTCGGAGCGCCTCACCGCGACCGACCCAGTCGCCTCGCTGTCCCGCGCGACCACCTCTCTTGCCGGCGACCTCCTTATGTGCTTGTTGGTCTCTCATCATGGTCGTAAGCGTGGTACGAATATTATTGATCCCTGTGGCGGGATCAATCACCCGAGTGTCCATCAGTTGGACCCGATCGTCCATACGTTGAAGAAGATGGTCAATCTCGGCATCTCGTTGTCTCGGCGGCATCAAGAATCGTCCCAAAGCTGATACCAAAATGATGCAGCGTAAAGCATGTACACGAAAGATTACAGATGAATGTTATCTGAAAATGAAGAACACATAACAATTTCAATATTCTTATAAAAACTGCCATTCACTACACGTTCCTACGGTTATTAATATTACTTCTCCTAAACACATAAAATTAAAAGCCCATAATAATACAAGCCTAACACACAACATAAATAAATACAACAAGCCAACACACACAACATAAATAATATCACACTAAAGACCGAAGTTGGTCATGTTTGCCTAAAAATGCCAACGCACTCTCGTCGGCATCACTTTTTCGCCGAGATTCTCCCTGAACCAGGATCTATTATTTTTTTATTTCTCTCTGTAGTTGTCAACTTTTCCTTGTATATTTTCTTGCTTTTGTTTTTTGGTTTTTCGTTTGACTTTATGCATATCAGGCATTGAACTTGTAGTTTGTGACTTTTCAGCCCATTTAGAGTCTTTTTTAAATACACGTTAGAGATTCAGCCCCACTCTCCTACAGTGTTGTTTGTTAAAAAAAAATTAAAAATAAATATAAAAACTATTTTTTGAGACCGTCTAAACTTATCTTGGAAATAATTTTGGGCTCCACTCAATAAAGTTCTGGTCCGTCCTACCAATGAGATGATACATAGTATTTAACATCTTTTAGGTGATAGTTAACCAAATGAAATTGTTGTTAATAAATGGGTTGACATTTGTCCGATACATTCAACCAAATCGACCGTAATAAAAGTAGACGGAGATTATTTTTAATGAAAAACTTTCAAGTCATTATAAAGCTAAGAAGTTTATCATAATATATTTTTATTTAAAAAATATTTTTGTCGGTTAAATTTGACCTTCTAACTAGTTTTGACCGTTGAATCAATAAAAAAAACATAATAAAATTCGACGAACTAAAATTACGACTGAACTTGATCTTTTAGCAACCAAAGAAAAAAGTTGAAGAGGAGTTAAGTTCATGAATTTATATCTATATAATTACTAGCTCTTCTACATTTAACAAAACCTCATAAATTATACCTAGGTGACACTTTTACATTTTCCCCCCAAAAACTGTTACTTTTCATTTGTTTAACCTAATTAATAGATAATCAATACACTAATCAATTTAAAAGACCAAAAATATTTTGAACTGTTGATTATTGACAGTTAACCATATAATGTGTTACCATATAATTTGATTAGATATTATTATTGTGGTTACATGTAAATTATTTTTTTTGGAAAATAAAAAAAGTATATGAAACTCCTAAATAAATTATAAATAATTTTAAAAAAATTTCATCCCAAAATATACGTTACATCCAATCTAATAAACGCAATTTAACAAACAATTAACTCCTTTAATTGTAAATTTGGCTGCAAAAACGTGAAAGAAAGATAATTAATCATTATATGCATACAAATAACTCACAATATTTTATTTATATTTGTGCAAATGCACAGGTAAAATACTAGTTAATTTGTAATACTGGAGTTAAAATTCTCACCACAACAATCTACTTCATATGTTATGTTTAATTTTGTCTGTACAACAACTTTAACATCGCCTTATATAAAAAAAATATTTTTAATGACAGTTTTATTATGAAACCAACAATTGACTCTATAGTAGAGTAGTCTTCTAATTACAACAAGTAAATCATACCATATTGGTATGATTTACTTGTTGTATATAGAAGATTGACTTCAGCTGTTGGCTTCGAAAGTGTTGGCTTCGAAAGTGTTATTTGTGAATCACTACTTATAAATCATGACATTATTGAAAATAAGACAATTAAGGGTAGATTTGTCAAAGCCCCGCCGGCCCGCAGCCCGCCAAAACCCGCCTTTTGGCGGGGCCGGGTAGGGCGGGGCGGGGCGCCATCCTGGCAGGCCTCTAAATGGCAAACCCGGCCCACCTTTAAGGGTCAAATTACCATAATTGGTGCAACTTGCATGTGAACATATTCTTTCTCCGAAAAATAATGTCTGTT